TTACAGATCTTCGGGGAAAACTGCACATTGGTGAAGAAAATTTAAAAATCTGAAACCGGAATCTAGAAGCACTGGCAAGAATAGAGGAGAGGTGTCATTTCTAGGCATGGAGAAACTATAGAGGAATTCTCTACTGAGTGTTAACTGAGTTGGTTCTTCTCTCTTCTTCACTCCCCCCTTTTTACTCTATGTCCCATGGAAGCCAGGAGGAAGTTGGGTGGGTAACACCTAAGATGGGGCTGAGAGTTATGGGTTCCAATACTAGTAACTGTGAGTAGCTACAGAAGACCATGTACATGCATACAGTGTGTACATGTGTATAGTTTTAGGACAGAGAGTACACGTGACCTCAAGTAACTGAGCAAAGAGGTTTTAAGAGCTTAGGAACATCAACAACTTGGTATACTGGAAGCCAGCAGAAGTGACATGTGACCACAAGAAAGACTGGTTGAAGATTAGAGCACTTCTTGCTAATTTCCAGAAAAGACTAGAGAACATGGTGAAGGGTGGGGATGTGTGGAATTCAGGCAACCTGTGTAAACTTAGGGTTTACTACTTTGTGTTAACTGCCAACAATAATATTACAATAATAATGAAAACTAATGATCTGCTTGTGTGGTATGTGTATGTATGTGTACTTGCCAAGCACTTCATCTGACAAAGTAAAATCAGTATCATTTCAGTGATCCCAGAAAGTATTTTTGGAAAGCTTAAAAGATGTTAATAACTTGGAAGGCTACTTGGGCAAATCAATCCCCAAATATTTCAAATGATAAAGCTAAATTCAGAAGCGAATAAAATATACAAGACAGCATTTCCAAAAATATTAAGTTATATGATAGATATAGGCAAGGTCTACTTATTGACTAGCTCTTAAATCAACTCTTTTGTGTTTAAAAAGGGTCACTCATAATCTAAGCCTTCCTCTGGCTAGATTATAATTACCCCTAGTTTGATATTACTTTGAATGATGTTTTTATCTAGCCAAAAAATCAGGCACCAGGGAGGCTTATGTATTCATTCATTTGCAATCCTGACATTTAATAGCACTTGGTATCATGAAAATTAGGATCACACTTGCATTACAGTTTAAAAGGTAGGAATCCATAGAACATGGCCATAGCTTTTAGGGGGAAAAATCCATTTTTGAACCATTATTGCTTTATGGCACTATTTGACAAAAGAAAATGTATTTCTCTTTCTCCAATTTACTTTATTTCCCCAGTTACTATCAAGTCTGACATGGGTTCAAATTCCTGTTCTTCTATACTTACTGATCCTGGAGATGTTCAACCTTTCTGAGTTTTAGTTTTGTTAACTATTGGTGGAATGGAAATGTTAACCTACCAACTTTACAAGATTGCTGTATGAATTGAATCATGTAACATAAGAAGGCTTAGTCATATCACTGTCTCTGAAATAAAATTCCATAACACCAATTTTTATCACTCTGGATAGAAGAAAACTTCTATGTGTAGAAAATAATTTTCTTACAAAGTCAGACCTTTCCTCTGACATGTGTTATTAATATTTCAGACTAAATCATTTGGGCTCCACAACATGGCATTAAGTTCTAGTAAATCCTAGGGAAAGTAAGTAATAATTATTATTATTTTGGCTACATTCATTCATTTACTTATGAAGATTTTTATTTATTTGAAAGAGAGAGAGTGAGTGAGAGAGAGAGCATGAGCAAGGGGAGGGGGAGAAGCAGACGCCCTTGCTGCAACCTGATGTAGGGCTTGATCCCAGGACCCTGGGATTATGACCTGAACTGAAGGCAGTCACTTAACCGACAGAGCCACTCAGGTGCCCTTGGCTACATATATTTAGACATACAAATGAAACCTTCTGGGCAAAAGCAGGTCATTCAGGTCATTCAGAATTTTTAGATCATCTTAAATTTGAAGTTGAAAAAGCACTGAAGTCCATTATTGTAACCCCACACATTTTACAAAAGAAAAGTTAGTCCCAAAGAACTTAAATGGATTTGCTCAAGTAGTATATATAGGTAATAAGGTAATAAAATATGAGTACTTAGTTCTAATAACTTATATTCCAATTGTTCTTTACACTATATATACATACCACTCTGCCTTTATACTGTGTTTCACCTTTTTGATTAACAGTGCTTCTTCCATGTCCAAGTGACTTTTATTTTTCCAACAGTTTGCTATTTCAACTGCTTCTAGGCAATCAAAAATCTTCTATTAGGTTACCTATCCAAACAACTATTTTCCCTTTATGCCTTCCTATGAAAATGCTGATTTTCTCCATATATGGAATGGCAATATAACCAGTGATGGTAAGCCTCTATTCTTGCCCCAGGGGATAAACCAGGTAATAAACAATGATTGATCTAAGCAAGAAGTTAATCCCATTCACCTTTGTTGGTGGATTGGTTTAGAATAAGCTAGTAAGCACATAATACAGCAGTCATATCTACTATGAGGAGAAAGCTAAAAGTCTCACAGAAAAGCTCATCCAGAGCTCTGGCATTACTGTCTTAACCAACCCCCAAATCACCTTGCTCTAGATTAAATTATATAAGCAATAAACCTGTATTTAGTTAGGCAATCAATTACTTGTGGCCCAAAGCTTCCAAATACGAAACTCCAGTATTTTCTAGTGAAATCATCTTACCTAGCTTCTACGATAGAAGACTTCCTTCTCAGACCAAACAATATAAGAGTTTTATTAAAAATCAATTAGGTGTGTTAGTAAAAAAGGTGCTATTTGGTAGTCCACAGTATTCAGAACTTTAGGACATGACTGAAGAAACTAAAATAATAAATCTAAAATAATACAATGTTTATTCAGTATAGAAACAAATCTGAATTTGTATATCCATTCTAAAAATTTATAAAAATAACTTCAAAAACCGTAAGTTTCAAAAAGATGTTATTGTCAATTAAACTTATTTTTGAAAAACACTGCCGTCACACTGACATGAAGCTTAAATATATTTTATTACCTATCAAGAGTCATTTTATATGACAAAACATTGTTTTACTAAACAAATGTATATACATCACCTCTTAAAAGAAAATATTTACTATCTTGAATTAAAAAAATGGCCACAGATTTAACAAATTGTAAAATTATGACAATACTTTCAACTACTGAGTCACATGAGAAAAGACCAAAAAGTAGCAATAAAAAAAACTTGTCAAAAACCCATTACTCACTGAAGACAACTGAAGAGTCACCCACCCTCAAGAAGGGCCAACTAGTTTGAAATACTAACTTAGCTTTTAGTTCGGCCCTAAGTTTCAGAGTAAGGGCACAAGCTAGGAGATGTTAAGAAATGATGGTTAAAAGTAAGTAAAGAAAGAACCTATAAGTAGAGGCTAAAAATTGTAAATGTTTGAGGGTCACACACTAGTGACACATACATAATAGTTCCCAAGGATATGACACTAGAATAAACTGATGCTCAAGATGATTAATTTTTTTTAATTTAAAATAATTTGATTAATATAGCAAAAACTGGTGTTGGCTATAATGAGACTTTGTAATGATGGGGACATTAATCATGGTAAATAGCATTATAGTCCAAACTTTCTCACCAAGATAAGATTTGTTAGTACTATTAAGGAAACAAACAAACAAACCCAAAAGACTAGAGTTAAGCAGAACAGAAAGCCATTTTCCTCCTTTTCATAAGTCTATACCACTGTAATTATTTTCTGTCCTAAGAAAAGTCGACCCTTCAGGACACCCCAATTAGGTAAGTAACCAGGCACTCCATTTAAAATAAATATGTACATCCTGAATTAGGTGCATGTATCCAATAAATATCAACTTAAAGGCAATTCACTTAGGAAGGTTTAAAAAAAATATAATGAGAGCATTTTGTTGGATCACTACTACTGTTAGAATGAACCATTTTAGCTAAAGATCAAATTTATTTGGATAATCCAACTTTTAAAAGATAAATACTTTTTATAGCTACTTAATGTTACCATACTAGTACTGTACGAAAGAATGAAGGAAAAGATGAGAGTTTAAGATGAACCTACAGGTTCTCATAGAATTACCAATCATTTTTGGTCATCTGTTTTGGTGTTGCTATAGCAACTTTATGATTCATGACCCCCTCAGCCCAATAATTCAGAGGACTGAATTATGTATGAAAAATGTATTGCCAATGTGTTTCCAGTATCAGTAACACACATTAATGAATCTGATCTTACTGTAGTAAATTATATATTTTTAGCCTCAATTTAGTAAATTAAAGAAACTATCGGCCACTAGAGAAACACAGAGGAAATTATCCATATACCCAATCTTTATAAAACTGTGTCTCATGTCAGTCTTGAATGTTAAATCACTATATCTTTTAGTTTCAAATATGTCTTTCTTTACTGAGAGACTCAAACAGATGAGTCTGTGTATAATGCTTACAATGCTTATTTACAGAAAACAAATTTGATCTCATAATTAAATTAGATACAAACTTCATAGAAATGTCTTTTATTTAAAGTTCACAAAAAAGAACCCTCATCTAAAATGCATACAAGTATTTAATAGTGAAGTGTCATGATGTCTACAACTTACTTTCAAATGGGATTCAGCAAAAGAAAAAGAAAAACTGTATGAGTACATATATATAATACATGTAAATATAAGAGGGAAAAGCAAATGTGGCAAATTGCTATCAATGCTGGATCTACGTGGAAGATATATGGGTATTCAGAGTATTTTTTCAGCTTTTCTGTGGAAAAATTTCCAAGTAAAAAGATGGGGAAACAAAGGACCCTCACAGGCTCCTAGCTCACTTGTGCTATAGTCTTTATCCTGAATATATGTCCAGTCCCTTTCTTTTGAGGCAATTACCTCAAGACCCTTTTGCTTTCATTTACAACAACTGTTACAGAACTGTGTTATGTCTTTTTAAGGAAATCATATCTCCAGGAAAGAGTTTTTTTTTTTTTTTTTTAGGAAAGAGTTTTTATAAGTAGATTTAAAGGCCAGTATCAGTGAATTAATTGTTTTACCTGAAAGTTAACATCTTCTTTCTTAAATATTAGTGCTCGAACTTCATCAGGATCTCCATTAAATATAGCTTGCACCAGTGATGGCTAAAATACAAGAGAGCAATAAAAATATTAATCACACTGCATGGATGATTCTAAGGATATTTCCACATAACTTTTAAACCTAAAATTTTTCTCCCCTTTAGCAACAATAATCAATTTGGTTTTTGACATTAACCAAAAGTTTCAGGAAGTCTAATCATATGAAAGTACAGGATTCCTCCCTGAATAAAAAAGGCCTAATTAAAAAAAAAAAATCAGTTCAGTATGACCAAAATTAGGTAGATAGTAAACACAATCAAACTTTATTTTGTGTGGGTAGAAGTCTTTTGTTTATACATGTGTGTATATATATGATAAAAACAAAGTCTCTTCCAAATACAAGTGTGACATCTCAACATCTACTTGTGGAACATAACTTGTCAAACAAGCCATTCCTAGGCCACACTGAGGCCCATGAAGGTAGTAGGCCTTTTTGAAAAGTTCCTTTGGGGCATTAAGTAACTTGCATGGGTTAGCATTACACGTTATACAGATAGAAATCCAAGGAAGAAAATCTGGCAATTGATGAAAATCACTACTATTCAAAGACCAAAAAATACCATATACCTGAAAAACACGAAGAGGCAAACACGTGTATCTAAATATAACAATTTCTTAACAACACAGCCTCTCTGATAAGGTATCATATTATACTAGTCAAACAAGAAACCAATTGACAACAACATTAAAAGTAAGGTTAAGGATGAAGTCTGATTCTTTTTCATATAAAAGTGCTATGTGTAAATACATAAAATTCATTACAGAAAAGGCTGTGCCTAGGTATTTCTAGCCATAGCTTTCCTAAAACATACAGTTCCTCATTCTTGTTACAGCAGTTTTTAAAACCACAAAATGAAAACAGAAATGTGGTTGCCAGAACTACGATTCTCAATTTTTTTAAAACAAGTCTTTTTAAGAGAGTAAGAGATAGCAAGTAAAGTCTGAAATGGGTTATCTAAACATCTTAAAGTAGTAAAAATCAGAAATGTGTGCATTTTATACCCGAGTAATACTATATCACATTTACATACCTATATTGCTTTATTTGGGTTTTTAATGAAACTAGTGGAAACCAACTTATGTTTATTCTTAAAAGATAAAATTTACCCTACTAGTTCAGAAGACAGTAAACATAAACTCTCATATCTTACCAATACACTTCCAGAAGGTGGTGAATGTAGGGATTTATTTTCCTGTGGCAATTTAGAAATGAAGGCAGGAGATTCATCTTCTACCTCCTCCAAAACAACAATACACACTCGACTCATTCGCTCTTTTAAAATACTAAATCCCAAGCTATGTGATAAAAGTCACAGTTGGAAGAGCACAAGTAGTTTCTCCTCTTCTGTACAACACTTAGGATCATTCTCTGAACAGCGCAGCTGGTTTTTTAAAGTTAATAAGTACTATCAGAAAAACTGAAGTTTAAAATTATGACTACATAACATAACTTCCTAAAAATAACAAAATTCTATTATCTTCTGTTGGGTTACTATAATACTCAAAAGAAATTTCACATCAACATGTCAATTACTAAAACAGAGTCCAGTACAAGCTCATTTAAAAATATTTTTCCCCTACCAAAATAGTCATATTGCTCTCTGTCTCACAGAAATTTACTTGCATAAAAAGATCATTGTTTGGGGCAACAACACCACGCAATACAAAATGAAATGAGAAACAATTACTGTGACAGAGATGATTACAGCTATACCCACTCTTGCCTGCAAGGTCATATAGTTACCAGTAGCTGACTTCCTTGTAATTAAAAAAAAAAAAAATCTCACTATTTTGTTTCCACTTCTAACTTGTCTTCATTTCTTCAGCTTCTGGTTTAATACAGATATTATCCAGAAAAAAAAAATATCTAGAGCTCAGCACAAATTCTTAAAATAAAGCTCAGAGGTTGACAATTCTTTCTGTGTTTGGGAAAGAAAACAAAACAAAACAACACTCTGCATTAATAGCAAAGCTGCAGTACATTTACATGCGATGAGTCAGACCACAAGAGACAATAGGACTCTTGGTACTAGAATACAGCTTGATTAATCCAGATATCCCATGTAATAGAAGAAACACAGATAGCTTTATTCCCATCAATAGCATAAGCAAGGCAGAGCGTTCATTCTTTCTCCATCAGGCAGTTGTCTGTGGCTGCTCCAGCAAAAGGGCACAGCACCAGGCAGAAAGAGTGTTAGCAGAGGATCCTAATGGAACAGGCAGGCTGCGAAGGAATTAGAAGGCATTTGAGCTCAAATTACTGCTTCAGGCTTTTCATTTTAAAAAAAGAGAAAAAAGCCCAGTAGTTTATCATTCCAGTGTTTCCTTTGATCTCCACATGAATACAGCTTCCATTAAATAGTCTTCATTCACAGGAAAAAACAGCAGACTGTGCATCTTCTTTGAGCCAACTACTTTATTCAATCATCTGCTCTGTGCCAGTAGTTTCCTTCCACTGTAAAAACCGCTACAGTTACCCTTTTCAGTAGATTTCAGATGCTTCCCCGTTCCTCAGATGATCTTGCAAAATGCCACTAATACCTCCAATGAGTAGGTCCTTAAAAAATATCTACGGAACCTCAGGATCAGCCCCACAGAAGCATTCCAACTGAGCAACACACTGAAGAGCAAAGACTGCAGAACCGCAGGATGAAATGCCTAGTAATGCTCACATGTTACACTTACCAGAGATCTGAGCTACTGCTCGGGATGTAACTTCCTCTAGCAGGAGAAAAAAATAGTGCATTTGGACAGCCTTCACAATTAGAAGGTTCATGCCAGTTCTGTGACTAATCCAGATCAAACTGAAAAATTCTATAACTGAAAAATGAGTGCGCTTTTAACATTTTCCACTAAAAGCCACAAGGAAATCTGGTGTACTGCCTCTGCTGACTAACACTGGTTTTAGCAAGTAAACAATTCCAAACAGCTTAACTGCTTTCGTATGTTACAATATAGCAAATGTTTAACCCTATAATGACAGCTGCAATTAAGAATGTCTGCAGTGAGCCCATAAAAGAGATGGAGAAATATTTATGAGAACATAAAAACACAAATCTAAGACTTTATTCTTTTTTACCAAGATCATTTTTTAATAAACCAGATATATTTATTTTCAAAAATGCAAAAAGTTCAAACAAAGAAATTTAAGATTTACTAACAATTTCTAGGTTGTTGAATTTAATCTATCAGGTCATATATTTAAAGGGAAAAAATAAAAATGTAAAAATGTAAAAATCCTAGCTTGAAACTTCTTTGGATCATCTGAATTTCACTGAAGAAATTAAATAATTCTACCTTCCCATCTAGAAATGGAATAAAGCCTTAAAATCTTTTAAACAGCTTCATGAAACTATTGTTTAAAGTCCTTAGCATTAATTTTCTTTCTATATGTCAAAAAAGGCACACGGTAACATAAAGAAAGCAAAGATTCTCCTTTCTGTATAAAATTAATTTCCCCAAAGCTACAAATTAAGTATCAAAGGCAACCAATTTATAGTTGGGTTTCCTCTTCTTTCTCTATTTACTAATAAACAAGTCAGATATTTCCCAACAAAAAATTACGAAGAAAATACCGTGGTTTCCCTTCAATCTTTGTTCTTTCTCCTATCAACTAGCATTTTTATTCATAAACATAATAGCTATTTTTGAACATTTATGATGCACTAAGTACTGTACATTCTAATTTAATACAATAACCTTATGTTTCCATATAATTAAGAGGAAAAAAACAGACACAAAAATTAAGTATTTTATCCAAAGGCATATAAATTAGTAAAGTTGTGCCTAATTCCAAACACACTGCTCTTTTGAATCTATTCTGCTTCCACTGAGTGTACACACTAGTACATGTACCCCCACCCTTCCACTCTCTTTCAAGATCTCTCTCAAGATCTTTGCAACCTAGACTGTAAGAGTAATCTTAAAAGACTGGTAATCTATAATGGTTGTGAAAAGTTTAGGTAACAAAGGAATATACTATTTACTGCCATAATATTCCTAAACAAGTTATTTTTAAATGGGTATTTCAGGGCTACTGTTATCACATGTGTTTAAGCCAATTTATTTACCAAAACATAAAAAAAAAAAAAACCCAGCATGATATAGATAATGTAAGAATGCCAGAATTTAAGAACAAAAACCATTAAATGTCAATCTATGAAAAACCTGTAATCCTAATATAATTTTATCAAGATACTAAAATATGCTAACAATTCATAGTTGTATTTTAAAACACATAAAATATAAAATGGTTTTACACCAAATTAAAGATCTGCAAATATTTTGACATACAAAATGATGTTAACTATCTCCACATGGCTAAATCAAAAATCTCATCTTGATATGTGAAACATGTGAAAATGAAACCACTTTGGTAACAGTATCCTATATTCTATCTTCAGGGTTTTTTTTTTTTTCCCCCCACCCCAAACAAAAAGCTCTTTTTATATAGACAACTTTAACTTGTTCCAAAGTATCCAGTATATAAATTCACCTACTTAAACAGGTACATCCTGTCTCTTTTTCTATGTCAACTTCCATACTTAGGTCTTTCCTGGCCAGAGCACAAGCTCCTTGAAGGCAGGGACTATGTTTTTATATACACCGTGTGCACACAATTACTTCCCTTCCACTTTCTTCCACTTACAAACAATTTCATTGAAAAGAATCCCATTATGTCACAAGACTCTGGAAATTGCGTGGCAAAATTATAAAAGACAACAGGGACCTGAAAAAAAAAAAAAAAGACAACAGGGAATTCATATGTATATATGAATATGTATATATTAAGGGGTGCCTGGGAGGTACAGTCAGTTAAGGTTCTGGCTCTTGGTTTCAGCTCAGGTCATGATCTCAGGGTCCTGAGATCAAGCCTCACCTCACGACAGCTCACACTCAGCCTGGAGTCTGCTTGAGAGTCTCTCTCCCTCTCCCTCTGCCCTTCCCACTCATGCGTTCTCTCTAAAATAAATAAAAAATTTTTAAAAAGAGTATATATATTATATATACACACACACATACTTTAATCAGAAAACACAACAGGCATTAAAGTGCAGTAAAATGAGTTTCATACCTCTAGTAGGTAAGTAACTTAACATGCAGAAGTTGACAGAATATAAAACAATGATATAGGATGACAGCTAAAATTAAGGCCTCAGGAATCAGCCTACCTGTAATTCAAATTCTGATTCCATTATTGATTAGCTGTGTCCTTGGGCAAGGCAAATTCCTTGAGTCCAAATTTCTTTACACTTATAAGAATAATCATCTCCAGATATTTTTATCTAGGAGAAATACAGTAATAGCACCGAGACTGAGAACGTAGGCTTTGTAGCCAAATTGCCTGTGTTCTAATCTAACTTCCTACTAACAAACCTAAGTATGACCTTGAGCAAGTTACTTAACCTCTCCGTGTCTCATTTCAACATCTATTAAAGGACATTAACATAATTTACTTTGAAATAAAATGAAGACAGTCTTATTATTATTGATATTTAAGGTAATAGAATGATATCCCCTGTCAGGGCAGTAGTTTCTCCCCCTATTGGCGAGGTGATTCAGACTGGTGTCTGGAAATTGAAATTCAGTTGCTTAAGTACAACTCCCCATACTCCACCCACCGCCCCCTTTTCAGGCCTCTTAAGAGACTGCTAGAAGTTTGTCATAACACTCCAGTGACCAAACTAAGCGTTACTGAGGAGAGGAAGCAGTAAATTAAGGCAACAAGTAGGACTAGGGGTTTTACTATTCTTCCACATTCACTGTATTTTACAGTCTAAGGGAAGAGAAAGGGTAAAAATTACTGGCCCATGATATCCTATACAATAAAAAACATGAAAAAAACAGAGATAAATACTTCACTATTTTTTATTATTTAAGCTAACAGCACCATATGGCACTGTTTTACACCTTCTACTAAATAAGACAGGCCCTTAATCTCAAGGAACTCTTATCTTAAAGGAAAAGGAGACAGGTCAAGAACTATTTAAGAAATTAGGAATGTACAAAGTTATTTATGATGAAAAATTATTGACAAAGATTGTGCAAACTTAAGTTCAATAATTTTTTTTTCAGTTGAACAATGGCAAAGGGATGTGGTTTTTTTTCTTGAGGCACTTACTTTTTAGGTCAAATTAGATTA